AGTTCTTCCCTGCTGTACCGAATATCTACATTTCAATGTATCATATCAAAGTTAAAAATTCAAGTATTGTGAAAAAAAATAATTTTGTAGGGTGCCACAAATTTGTTAAAATTTCCAATGGGTGCCGCGACTAAAAAAAGGTTGGGAAACACTGCTTTAGTGAATCAGACTACACAGATCAGACTGTATGTTGTGTGCTATCATTGAGGACAACTTAAAAGAAATAATTCTAGCCCTTGAATAGCTGTGCAACTAATCATTTGGCAAATGCTCTTAAATTTACAAACCTTTGCTAGTAAGTAATGTACTAGTAACATAAATCTTAAATTTAGGCCTAAATATTTTTTTAGTATATGAAGTGCATACTGAGATTTACAATATGGTTGACTCGCTTGCTCACAATTTTGCTGTTGCAGGCTATTCAGTAGCATCCGTTCTTGCTGTATTGAAATTGTCTTCAATAAATAGATAAACAAGCCCAAATGCTTCTTCTTACCTGACAATCTATGACTTGGATCACTAAAAACCATCATACACATCTTATCTTTGTCTTGCCAAGAAGATAATTAATGGTTATAGTGCGCCGTTTTATTTCCGCCCCTCACCTAAGTAGCCTTGAGAATCCTGTCACATGTTGAAGGCAATGAATGTAGCTGTATAATGTAAACACGTTAAAGCCTTCCTGATATTGACCAGATGCCCCAACATTAGCCCACTCGATCGCTTAACGCCTCTCAGATTGTTCATCAGGCCGATTGAATGACGTCATCCCTTCAGGTTCCGCATTGAGCTGTTACATTCCAATCAATATGCCTTAATGAAACGCATGTCGTTTGTCTTCAGGGTACAGGGGTATCGATGCCAAATGGGCAACTCAGTCATATAGGCCCAGATTTGATTCTGTAGAATTTGACAAATGTTCATCTACAGGTCAGCTTTCCATTCTTCGTAATATGATTTGGAGGCTCTGACTGTACAATCACAGTCAGGCAGGCACTTTGTATGCAGCCAAGCTCCCAGCATGCTTTGAGTCTGCTCACCTGGGGCATGTTGCATTCCTCAAATTTATGCTTTGATTAAATGCAAATATAAAGATAAACAGATAAACAGGATTTGGCCTGACATTCACTCAAGGTGGTGCTTTGTGAAGCAGATTAGTGTTGCTAATTTCTCTTCTGGTGGAGTTTTAATTGGCATTCGATTCAAATCAAACTCCTGCCACCATCCCTAGGGGCACAGAGACTGGTGTACTATGTCTAAAGGGCATGTGCTGTCTGCTGTGCGATATCAGCTATGATGGCTGCTTTTTCATAAAATGTTCATTATAGTCTATATTTATGCTAGTATTCTCAATAGGCATAATTCAGGTCTCCGACTGTATGACAATATTGTCTGAGCGGTGTATTGGAAGCATAAATAAAGACTTATAATTAGCTGCTTCCTCATTTGGTACCTCAAGCAACAACTTTTGTTTGTGTGCTTGTCACAGTTTTATTTGCCAGTTACACTTTATTTATAGGAATTTTAGTAGCTACAGGAATTCAATTTCCCTTTTTTTATCGGAACACCTTTTTCCTCTGAGGCTTTTGAGGAGGTGTGCAGGAAACCACACTCTGTGTTTTAAAGCTGATGTGTGTGAAGCTTAATAATTAAAATGTTTATGAATAATTCATTCTGCATCTCTTTGTGCGAGCACTCCTGTAGCTGTGCAAGCTTCTATATTTAACATCGGCATCACTTTTTCTCTCTCTTTCTCTCGCCTTCTTTCCTTGAAAAGCTCAACACCTTTGGGTTTTCATCTTGAAACTGTTTAACATGGGAGGTTTCTTTTTTATTTTTGTCACAGAAATCCCTTTTCATATATATGTTTTGAAGCCTGCACTAAGCATAAACCAGAATTGAAACCAGTGTAAAATAAACCAGTGTAATATAAAAAATATTGTCTGAAACGTTAGCTTATATTAAGTTGAAGGTTATTTTTAATTCACAATGAATTATTACCTCTTTCATGTTCCTAAAGTAGATCAAGAGAGAGAGAGAGAGAGAGAGAGAGAAGGGCGACCCACAGCGAAACCTACAACAGAAGAAAGAAACAGAGTGGCAGGGTGAAAGAGCTCACTGCTTCTGTTTAAGACAGCACAGTGGCCTGGCATCGCTACAGAAACGGATGCGTGATCATGATGCTGATGACCAGCTGTGTGCGAGTGGATTGAGGGACAAACTGTTGTTTTTAGTCTCACACATGATCAGTTATACATTCACAAACACATGACTCTGTGTTTTGTATGAAACCATGTCAATTAATAGTCCAGCTACTTTGAATGAGTGAAATAAAATATGCACAACTTAGCAGTTGGTCAAACTGCCTTGAGGGGCTTGTTGCATTGTGAGGTTATAAATGTCCTTAGGAATCTAAATATAATACAATCAATTCAAGCACATCAAGAGTAAAAGGTAACAGATTAATAACACAAATTAATGAATTAATTAATAATTAATAACAAATTATGCAACCACTATAAGTACATTCAACCTTACTCGGATACAAACAGTGCACTCATGATAAACGGTATGTAATATATAGCAATTCTCAACTGCTTGATTGTTATATATTAAAAAAACAAAAAAAACTATGTTATCACTCAGCGGTATATTAAAAGTTGGATATATAGTGAATACTACTTTATCTGCATAATGTAACGCCCCTGTGTCCTTATTTGGTTGTTCCTGTCCTCATTATTAGTTAATTACCTTGATTGTGCTCACCTGTCTGCCCCTCGTTATCCACCCTATATTAGTTCCTGCCTCCTGTAGTCTAGTTTGTCGGTTATTGTGAATGTTACCCCGAGTGTGTGTGTCTCCTCTACCAGAATCTGCCTTGTTGTCGCTCCATTAAATATCCTTATTTGAATCCTTGTCGTCCTCGTTATCCTGCCTGCCTCCACACACCGTGACCGTGACACATACATACAGTATACTCACACAAAGCAATATGTACTAGTATGTAGCAAATCTTGGCTTGGCACTGCATTTTTTATCTAAACTGTATTATCCCCCAGCTCTTTATATAATGTTGGATATATAAGTAATATCTAACTTTATCTGCATTCATACGGTACACTCACGTAAAGCTATATAAAGCCTACTATATAGCATATTTCAACTTGTATCACTGCAAATTGTAAACTATATTATCGCTCAGCTTTAATCTGCTAAATGTGACTAAAAAGTCATGAAGATATTATAAATATTAACATTGTGATACATTTTTGTGAAGCTGCTTTGAAACCATTTGTATTGTGAAAAGCACTAAACAAATAAATTTGACTTGACTAATAAATAATATCTAATCTGAAATAAGTAACACTGAATCTTTGAATGTTTACTAGAAATAGTGCATTAAATAAGCTTCGTTCCAGAGGCTCAGCTCTCCAATGGTGGCTAGTTGTCCTTATTGGATTTTTCATGCAGTAGAAATGTTATACTTATCACAATCAAACTGAATCACACACAAAAAGGCCAGTCCTCTGTACTGCAGACTTCCATGATGTATTCCTCAGATCCCACTGATCTGTGGACCCCTATCGATCCGGGAACTGCCCACAGGAAGCTACAACAGAGAAGACCAGGGGCCACCTGGATTAAAGCACACACAAAACGCCTCCGTAAAATGCATTTGGATTAATAAACAACAAACTTGACATAATAGTGTACATACCATTATGCAAATGTACACTTGGCATAGTTGCCTTTTTTTTTTTTTTGCAACTGCCGGAAATTGAACAGAGGATTTTAAAAATATGCTGTATATTGAATTCAACAGTCACACTCAAAAGGCAATTTTCAGCAATTGCTGGTTTTACAAATGTAATCGACACAATTGACTGCACTCTTATTGCAATAAAAGCACCAGCGGAGAATGAATTTGCTTTCAACGACAGAAGGCACTTTCATTCTATCAGTGTTCAAGTAATCTCACCAATGCAGATGTGAGGTGGCCTGAGCCAATGCATCGGTTTATCTTACAATAATGTTGGCAGCTCATCTGTACATTTAAATTCTATGTGATGACTGGTTGAGAATATCTTGTAAAACTCAAATATTCTAGTAACAGTATTCAGGAAATTGGAGGGTCTGTTGTGGGATTTATTCTGAATTATTTGCTCACTGTTATGTTTTTCCGAGCATGTAGGATTTGTATTCCTTATTTAACAGAATGTTGAGTACCAAAACGACAAAATACCTTATAAATAAGGAGCAAATACCATAACATTTGTCCATGTGACTTGTGCACTGTCTCTCTCTCTCTCTCATATATGTATATATAAATACATGATAAATTAAATTAATAGAAAAAAAAAATGACACGCTAAAAAGTTAAATCAGTCATTTTAAATGCTACAAGTGAATTTAAAGTGTTTTTTAAAGATTAACCTGAAGGGAGCATTAGATGATGACGAAGGTATAAATGTATATTTAAAATAAGGGAAATAAATATGAAAAATTGCTGTAAATATCCAATATTGGCCAATATTCATCTAATATAGTCCAACAGTGATATATAAAAATATTTAATATTGGTAGATAACCAGTATGGTACTGGTTTTTGTGTGAGGAACAGACATAAATTTGACCCGTTATTCACTAAAATTCTTCATCAGAGAATTTGTTTGGAAAATGTGTTTTATTTATATATTTTTTAAAATGTGTTGTTTTATTAATTGATAGTCAGGAGCCACACTCTGCAGTATGTGTAATATATCATAAAGAGAGGCAGGTCCCAGAACAGAGTGATCATGTATAGCAGTTATTACCATCATCAAACTGACAGGCAGAACATAATGGCTGTCTGGTTTAATCTTGACAACATCTTCTGATTCTTGAGACGATATCAAGAACACATTTATATTTGCCATGCACAGAAACAGCCATATTTCCACTCAATTTCAACATCTGATTTTATTTTGTTCTTACATAATGTTTTCCTTCTGTCATAACAGGCGACAATTGGAATCGACTTCCTGTCAAAAACGATGTATTTGGAGGACAGAACGGTAAGCAGTCTAGCATGTTCTAATACAGCAGTAAATCAAATGCACTCCTCTGTTTTCTATTCCATGTCAAAAGAGAAGAGTTTTAATGAAACCATATTGAATCTCCAAAGCTTTTTTATTATACCAGCTGGATTTCTGACAGTTTTAGTATATGGCTGGAAGCTCATGTATCAAGAAAATAGATTGTATCCTCTAGAGATGTCTGGAGTTTATAACCCAGAAATGATTCCATGACCTTCAGCGAAGCAATCTGGTTTTATAAGGTCATATTGATCCAGCTCCTAGCTTGGCTCTGCATGTGTTCATGTAATTGTGTGTATATGTGTGTTTGAGAGGCTGAATAATTTGACTGTTCAGTTGGGGATCTCTGACTTGCAGGTTCGGTTGCAGTTGTGGGACACGGCAGGCCAGGAACGTTTCAGGAGCCTCATTCCGAGCTATATAAGAGACTCCACCGTAGCTGTGGTGGTGTATGACATCACAAGTGAGTGTAACACACACACACTCCAATGATCAAACCTCCTCTGAAATACATTACCGAGAGCCAAAAAATCAAGGCGGTTAACATGATTACAGCTGCCCGATCTGTCAATTTGAGATGTGATCAATGATGATTCCCCTTCTAGGGAACTCAACGCTGCGCCCCCTAGGGGACACATTGGGGAATGCAGTCTGCATGACTGGTGTATGAAGCACGTGTGAAACAACGCCAATCTATTGGCCCACCTGGCCCATGACGTCATAGGCGGGATGCCCGGAAGTATAAAAGGGCACCTGCTGAATACGTCATCCACTTTTTGCTGTCTTCAGGAGCCGTCTGTTTGAAGTGCGTGTGAGAGACCAAGGCAGGTGAGCGGTGTGGAAAGTGTGTGCCTCTGTTCCAGAGGTTTCTGGCACTTGAGGACACGCACAATCTATCTGTCATCTGTTTTTGGTCAGGAGCTTCCGCGTTCAGTGCTTGATGGCTCTGAAAGCGCTCATTGTGAGTGTTATCCAATGAGAAGCTCCATTCGCGTTTGTCCCTCTTCTCGAGAGATGAGTGAAAAGCGTTTGTGTCTCGCATCTCGTCTCGTTCGGGTCCCGCTGTTGCCGAGGCACGGCGAATACTCAGATCGTGGGATTCGCGGGGTTGAGATGCCCTTTTTGGGTTATCGGATCCTGCGGATAGCGCTCGAGTTGAGCAGCGCCTTAGGGAATGTGTGCCTCTGTGTTTGGATTCTAACACTCGAGGGCATGTTCTGCTTTCGCGTTTGTCTCGGCGAAGAGCACGCGCGTTCAGAGTTATGCTCTCATTGTGATGAGCCACGATGTCTAGGCTCCGCTCGCGTTTGTTCCTATTCCTGAGGGATACGGAACCGAGCGTTTGTGTCTCGCGGCCCGGTTCCGCCGTTGCCGCAGCACAGTTATCTCAACTCGAGGTCATTGCTTTGATCTGCGGCATCTGCACACCCTCTCTATACGGTTGTCAGATGCCACGGATATTGTTGGGTTGTTATGACGAT